AAAAAAAAAAAAAAAAAAAAAAAAAAAAAAAAAAAAAAAAAAAAAAAGAAACAGGATAGAGAATTTAAAGAAATTCATCCCAGGTCATGTAAGAGATTAGAGGAAGAACCAGGATTCAAATCCAGGCAGTCCAATTCTAGATTCCATGTTTAACCTCCTCTTATGCCAACATTAGAAATAACTAAAAGGAGAAGAGGCTGCTGGGGATGCAGATAAGAGTTTGGGATGGCGTTAAGGCTACTACATTTCTTAACTCTTTCATCCTAAGCATGCAAAAGAGATGTACCCCTCAAGATCAGCTGCTCTCTGGCCTTAGCGTCACTAGGGACTTCAAAGAGATTAGCTATCGTCTCTTCTTCCTGCCTCCGTTGTCCTTAAGACAAACTAATTGATCTGATGAAAGACCAACAGAGATCCCCCATGTGCCACAAACTTTTATTACCCAAAGGAGAATCTATCCTCTGACTCCACCTGGGCAGTGGCTGTAAAATCCAAATGACAGACAGCCCAGTGAACTACTGCCAATATGCTGGTCAGCAAATGTCGGTAGTAAAGCCCTGAGGCCTCCCCCAGAGGTAAGTCACAGAATTGGCAGAGAGGATGAGGGAGGTAGAGGCAGAAGGAAATCTGTGTCAGGCCAAAGATAAGAGATCCTACTAACCAGACAGAAACCTTTTCTGTTCATATGAAAGCAGAAATCCCAGAAATACATTACAGACCCAGGATAGGGAAGGAGGGCAAGTCTCTCAGGAAATATAGGGTCCAATGAAGACAGCAGATATTGTCTACCTAGTTCTGTGCTCCACCTGAAAACTTTATCAACCATAAGTGCTAGAAACACATCACAGCTGGGTACCAACAGTATAATATCCCTGATGCTGGCCATTGTCTTACTAACCTCTGTGCCAGTTTGCTGACTGGCTTGGAAGAGAAGCAGATGGGGAAAAAATTCAGTGGGGAACAGAGAAGAGATGCAGAGTCTCAAAAGAAAAGTAAGGTGACAGGATGGTGCCAAGGTAGCACATCTATCCTGACCATGTTGAGAGTAGTGATGTTCTAGCCCAGGCCCTCACAGCCCCCAACCTTCTTTCTGGAGCTGCCTGATAGAAAAAGCACCTAGACCAAGAACTGCCTGGGCCTGGTTCCTTGAGCCTTTGATGAAGAGAGATCTTGGCATTGGTATTAGACCCTTTTCTATTACCTTTATCTATTGACTGCTACAGTCTGCACAGAAGCTTTGGCTTCCAGCTTAGCCTCCCTCCTCACCATAGTTCTCCAGCCAGGCCTGCTCCTAACTGTTTATTTTAGACACTAAATAGGAAATAAACTCAAAGAACATAAACATTCGTAAGAACTGCTGACCTGACCTGCTTTCTCCTTAACTAAGTTTCCTTGTTCACCTGTTTAATCCACCCTAATTCCACCCTCTCAGAGAGCTGGCCCTAACTACTTGAACCTGCCTGCCAGTACTGACAGAGACTCCTCAGCTCCTGCTTTCCCAGAGCAGATTTCTAATGTGTTCAAGACTCAGTTTCCACCACCACTTTCTCTACCATCCCCATCTCTCAGCCTGTGGAGATTCAGGAACAAGTCAATCTCAAATCTACCCTGAGGATTCTGTTCCAGAGATAGAATTAACCCCAAATAAACCTGTAGAAAACAGTCTCCTTGTTTTAGGCTGAAGCCTAAATGCATTAGGCATCAGTCCTCATCAGTAACTCATGCCTAAAACTTCCACGGAAGTATGTCACAAGATAATCACCCTTTTAGGGAGAAGGATCAAAGCTCTAGGGAGATACACCACTAATTATTCCACCATATTCTGACCTGGTTCAAAGTCTCTCAATGAGTCACTGCCTGATAATTCCTCACTCACCTAAAACTATGTCCTCCTAATTCTCTGTCTCTACTGCCTTTGCCTGAAGAGATCTGACCTAGGAGCTCAGCCTACAAGGCTCACAGGTAAGGGATTTACTTGGAAACCTTTAGCATGTGAACTTGAATCCTGGTGCAGCTGTCAACCAGTTATGAGACCCAAGGCAAGATGTTTCACCTCCCCAGAGGGCCTGGGCCTCCCTTATAGGGCTATCATGAGGAAAAAAAGAGGAGATGCTCTAGTCCCTTGCTGTTGTCTGGATGGTCAAATTCATGACATAATAAGCACTTACAATGCCGAGCCCTGTGGCCTCTCAATGCCAGGACAAGTAAAGAGCTAGAAATACCACACACCCCTGTCCCCTTCAGTGAGGTATACTGATGTACCCTGGCTAATATAGATCCCACTTGAGACAAACAAACAAAGCTTTCCAGCAGGTAAGATTAATTTGTACTGAGGTGACTAAATGAGATTTTAATTGTATTTATAAAACCCATACAGGAGAAAATTAAACCTTAACCCCAACCCCTCCACCCCCATCTGTGCCAACAATTTCTTTAAAATTGATGAGCTGGATTAGATTATTTCATTGTTTAACACCCTCAAATTGGAGACATTCATTTGTCTTCAAGGACCTTGATAATAAATTCAGTATGAAAATGAAATGGCAATTTAACTCAACAAGGTCCCAGGCCAAAATGGCCTGGTCTCTCTGAAAAACCAAGGATTTGTAAATACTTGCTGCCCCATTGCCCATCCTTACCCCAGACCCTATTCCAGCTGGCACTAGAGAAGTACAAACACATCAGGTTCCCATGTCCATAAATCCTTCCCCTGAGGTTAATTTAAGCTATGCCAGGGGACCATGGGCATCATGACCTTCTCCCTGGGAATGAGCTTCCTTTGGTTCTCCTTAAACAAACAACATTTCTGACCTCCAAGTTACCTCACAGGTAAACTGGGATTGGTTTGGGAGGAGGGGATAAAGCCACCAACCTCATATGGTTTTTAGTAAAATCAAATGAGATCTTGTCTGGATAAAGCCTAACAGAAAGCTGGGCACAGAGCATATTTATTTCCTTCCATACACCCTTGTTCAGGGAAGAGCCAATGAGAATACTGAATTTTCCCACTCCAAGCTCTTTTCTTATTAATGTCATACAGTTGATGCCAGATACCAGACACATACTTTAAACCATCACACCAAGACTCGAAGGACACAGAATTGCTGGAAAGGGAAAATCTGGAAAGGCAGAAGACAAAACTTTGCTATTTTATTATAGAAAGAACAGAATCCAAAGAGATCATCCGGCGTAGTCCCTCACCTCAAGAAAAAACCCTGCTTGATTTGCTTTATCATTTTTGTTAAACTATGTGTATATCCTGTGTATTCCCCATAGTTTACGATTTTTTAACATTAAAAAAAACTAAAAAAAACCAAAAAAAAAAAAAAAAAAGAAAGAAAGAACCCTGCTTAAACCATTACACGTAAAGGAGACTTTTCTGTTTGTCTGTTTGTGAAGAACCCCAGACTAGTTTTCATACAGTATCCCTCAGAAGCCTGACTCCAATGTTCTTTTTTTCTTTAAAAGATGACCAGTATGGGCCGGCCCGTGGCTCACTCGGTAGAGTGCGGTGCTGAAAACACCAAGGCCATGGGTTCGGATCCCATACAGGGATGGCCGGTTTGCTCACTGGGTGAGCGTGGTGCTGACAGCACCAAGTCAAGGGTTAAGATCCCCTTACCAGTCATCTTTTAAAAAAAAAAAAAAAAAAAAAAAGATGACCGGTAAGGGGATCTTAACCCTTGACTTGGTGTTGTCAGCACCACACTCTCCCAAGTAAGCTATGGGCCGGCCCCTCCAGTGTTCTCTTAATCACTACATTACTGCTGCATAAGTCATGTAATATTAAGTTATGTAATCTAAATCCCACTTGCTGCAATTTTAAGCTGCTTTCTATTCACCTGCCAATGGCAGAACCTGCAAACTACAGGTCATACTCTTCTGGATAAGAATGCTCATGGACTTGTTTACAGTTGTTCTCTTCTATTCCCTGAATTAAATCACAGCCCTATCAGCCTTACCTCATAAATGTAAAATTTTAAACTTTTTCTAATTTTTCTCTCTCACAACTGCCTTTTCTTGCCTTTGAGCTTTGGGATCTGGTGACAGTTAAAGGACTTTAGAAAGAGAATGACCAATTCATTGAGGTAAAAAGGGAGTTGTAACTATATTTGTAGAACAAGGTGATCCAGCTCTGGTCAAAGGGTTTGTGGGCCCAGACCAGCTCTGAGAAGGGTTTATTGGTCCAGACCAGAGCATCTTACCTTCTGGGCTTGAGCAGATTCAGTTAGGACAAGGGTAAAGAGGCCCAGGCAGACTTCCTCATGCTGGGGGGGACCTTTGCATACCTGGAATGTGAGGAAGGGAAAAAATTAGTTGTCACTCACAGGTAGAAAGTTCTCGAGCACAGTTTCTCCCAGAAAACTTGGGACTCCTGAGTAACAAGCAAAGGGGAATCATCAACTCTTATAACTGACGATTTCTTTCTCTTAAAAGAGATGACTGCAACTTGGTTTGTCTGTGGGGAAAAAAAAGAAAAAAGGGATGAGGCATCTGTTTTAGAAGACAGATGGAGGGAAGGGATAAACACTCATCGCTTTCTCTAAGGCTTGATGCAGGCCAGGTGCAGAAATTTTTTTTTTTTTTTTTTTTTGTCTTTTGTCTTTTTCCGTGTCCGGCAACGGATCGCAACCCTCAGTGTTGCCCCCGCACCGGACCGGGGACCGGCAACGGGACCACAACCCTCGGCGTCGCTCCCACGCCTCGCCCAGCCAGTGAGCGGGAACCGGTCTGTATGTGGTATCCGAACCCTTGGGCGGGAGCGCCGCCGCGCTTCCCAAGCAGCGCACTTATCCAGTGCGCCACTGGGCCGGCCCCAGAAAATTTTTTAAAAGTTTAAAATGGAAAAAGTACTGGCCAGTTGCCAAAATTAATTAATTAATTAAAAAATGGAAAAAACACAAGGTCAAGGGTTTGGATCCCCGTACCAGTCAGCTGCAAAAAAATAAAAAATAAATAAAACAGAAAAAACAAAAACAAAAAATCCTATTCCACGACCTTTATTAGATCTTAACAACCTTAGGTAGAGCAAGCTACCAGTCTTAACTGTGGGCAAATCATTGAACCTCTGAAATTTGTAAAGGGAAGACAAAATAAGAATAATATACTACGGAGGGTGGTGAGAAAAAAAATACTATAATAAGCAGATAATGCTTATTGATTGAACATTCACTATGTGCCAGAGATTACTCTAAATCCTTTACATGTACTAACTACTTAAAATCATTTCAACTACAAAGATCGATAAGAAAGGTAAAAGATAAAATATGTGAGAATGATTTGTAAAGAAAAAAATCACTACAGAACTGTGAGTTTTTTAAAAAGTTGTTATTTATGGGCCGGCCCGTGGCTCACTCAGGAGAGTGTAGTTTTGATAACACCAAGGCCATGGGTTCAGATCCCTATATAGGGATGACCGGTTAGCTCACTTGGGAGAGCGTGATGCTGACAACACCAAGTCAAGGGTTAAGATCCCCTTACCAGTCATCTTTTAAAAAAAAAAAAAAAAAAAAAAAGTTCTTAATTAAAGACACCTAAGGTCTAAAAGAGAGAAGCTGGGAAACCTGGTTGGGGGAGCCAAAACATGAACTTCAGTACCCTAGTTCCTAGCCACTCAGTCTTTCCATCTTCACAAAAACAGAAATAGCTATACAGAGAGCATTCTACTTACGTAGGCATTGAGGGCGTCATTGGCCTCTCTCTCTGAGACACCAGCAGTCATAGAGGTCACAATGCTCATACACCTTTCCAACCTCTGGGAAGGGGTGAAAATAATGAAAAGTGTGTCATGAGTCCACCTATGAAGTGCTCTAGCCACAAAAAGCTTAAAATAATTCAAGGCCGATCATGCCTCTAGATCTAACTACCAGGTTACTAGTAAAGTCACCATGAGGATATAATCAGCAAAATCTAGAATGTGGAAACCATGATAGGTAACCTGGTTTCTTTAACACATAAATTGCAAGGAAAAAAACAAGGGGAACCAGTATATTAAAAAACTTAAGATTTTAACACATTGAATAAAATAAGAATCTGTGAGTCCATGCTGATATATACATACATAATAAATAAAGGAGAAAGTAAAGCTCTTCCTTACAGTAGAATGCCAACCAATAAATATAGAAGGAATGATGAGAGTAATGATTGATTCAGGCAAATAGCATCAATGGATGCTAAAACCAGTAGGTCAAATTTTCAGGAGAGAGAGGATATTTACATAGATTCAAGATACTTATCAATTGCAAAAGGAAAATAATAACTGTAGGAAAACTTGGAAGACACCACCTTAACCAAGTGACCAAAGTTAATATCACCAATAATAGGACAAACTGACCCTATATGACTCTGATATGATGCACTGAAAAGGATATAACATCACTTTTATGGATTTCTTGTCAAAAATGCATAATCTCAGTCTAATCATGAAAAAATTCCAGACAATCCAAATTGAGAGATATTCTACAAAAAACTGGTCTATCAAAAATGTTTAAGGTCATGAAAGAGAGACAGACTAAGAATCTGTTCCAGATTAAAGAATAATAAAGAGACATGACACCTAAATGCAAGGTATAATCCTGGACTGCTATAAAGAACACTATTGGGACAACTGGTAAAATCTGAATATTCACTATAAATTAGCTAACAATAACATATCAATGTTAAATGACTCAATGTGTTTTTGTGTTTGTTTTGGTGGCTGGCTGGTAAGGGGCTCCAAACCCAGGACTTTGATATTATAAGGCTGTGCTCTAATCAACTGAGTAACCAGCCAGGCCTGATCCAATCTTGATAAATGAACAGTGGTTATATGAGAGAAGACCCTTGTTAGAAAATACACAATGAAATATTTAAATTTAAAGGGGCATCATGGCTACAACTTACTTTCAAAAAGTTAAAATAACATGTGCATACAAAGATAATGACAAAGCAACTGTGGCAAATATTAATAATCAGTGAATCTGGGTGAAGAGTATATGAAAGTTCTATGTATTATAATTTTTCTTGAAGTTTGAAATTATTTTAAAATACAGTTATTAAAAAATTAAATTGAATCCCCATACCAGCCTGCCACCAAACAAACAAACAAAAAAAAATTAAAGAGATATATCAACCAAATACAAGATGTGGACTTTGTTTGATTCCTGAGTTGAACAAATATTGATAAAATATTAACATAATGTATTTCATATTAAAAGTCAGTGGGCCTCGGGCCGGCCCGTGGCTCACTCGGGAGAGTGTGGTGCTGATAACACCAAGGCCCCGGGTTCGGATCCCATATAAGGATGGCCGGTTAGCTCACTGGGTGAGTGTGGTGCTGACAACACCAAGTCAAGTGTTAAGATCCCCTTGCCGGTCATCTTTTAAAAAAAAAAAAGTCAGTGGGCCTCTATGTTATCACCACCTAAACTATTTCTTGAGTCCTTTAAAACTTTACCTTGAGGATTAACCCAAATACTGTTTTGCATTTTTTTGCGGTTGGTCAGTAAGGGGATCCAAACCCTTGACCTTGGTGTTATCAACACCGTGCTCCAACCAACTGAGCTATCCGGGCAGCCCCCAAAAACTTTAAGGAAAACCAATTACCAGTAATAATGATGCTGGCAAAACAGGGACAAAGGTAGGCTGGTTTACTTCCACCTTATCTTAGAGGTCATCACAAAACATCCTGATGAGAAGTGGTTCTACTACAGCATTTCGAGAAACTGACAAATAAGGACAATGGGAAAGAGGTCTAAGAATGGAAGACAATTATGTTTCTTTGACCATCATCCTGAGGTTGTCTACATCTATCCTGTGTAAGAGCATAAGGTGGCACAGTGTAGAATTGAGTGTTAAGGCAAGGAGCTCCCTTAGCTACAAAACTTCGACCTAAAATAAGCCCAAAGTCACTTGAGTTTGAAGGTATTACAATTTTACCACCCAACATCAAATGTGACTATCCCCCAAATTAGGTCAGATCAGCAGGCTCAGCTTTAATAAATAGCACCTACGTACTTGTGAAAAGGAGCTGTGAGATCACATGAAAGCTGAGCTGTGACTCTCACAACCCACCCTTCCCACAAGCACTGAAATCCATTATTACCTACTCCAGCTCCTATATAAGGGGAGGGAAGAAAATACCTCAGGCTGGATTTTGTCTCTTTAAATCTTTTTTTTTTTCTCATTTTCTTCTTTTTTTTTTTTTTTAGCAGCTGGCCGATATGGGGACCCATACCCTTGACCTTGGTGCTTCGTTTGTTTTCTTCATGTTTATTTCTCTTTTTAAATCTTAACCCTCTCTGGGCCGGCCCATGGCTCACTCAGGAGAGTGCGGTGCTGATAACACTAAGGCCATGGGTTCGGATCCTATATAGGGATGGCCGGTTTCCTCACTGGCTGAGTGTGGTGTTGACAACACCAAGCCAAGGGTTAAGATCACCTTACTGGTCATCTTTAAAAAAAATAAAAAATATAAATAAATCTTAACCCTCTCTACCCAAAATAGTTATCAACGACTGGAGGATCAATTACTCCAGCTGCTAAGTACAGACTGTTCTTGCTAGGAGTTCTGGAGGGAACCCTGTACCCAGTGTAGATTAGCAAGCAGTTTCAGAGTAGAGGGAGATGGTAAACAAGCAGTAGAGTAGCATCCTAAAATTCTAGATATTGCTTCCTATCAAGGGAATAAATCTTTGGTGAATCAATGGAGAGGAGAGGCAAGAAAAGTTAAACAGCAGCTATCTAATGAGCAAACTGAACAAGCACAGCATAGAAGGAACCCTCCATTGCTTGCTAGCCTTAGGCTAATCTTAGGTAACTTACTTGGCCTCTCTAAACTCTGGTTTTCTTATCTCAAAAACAGAGATAATGCCTATATCACAAGGCTGCTCTAAGGATTAAGCAAGATAACATATGTGAAAGCACCTGGCATACAGCCTTAGTTAAATTAGAGTCTATTCAACTTGGGAGAAGCACAGCAACTGTACAACTAAGTCTATGAGGACCAGACTGCTCCCATCTCACTCTGACACTACCTCTAATGGCATGTCCTTAAGGATTCCTGAAAACAAACACCCTACCACAGGACATGGATAAGTGCCTGACCAGGCTAAAAAGCTTCCTCTCCTACTTACCCTCTGTAAAATTCTGCCTTCTAGGACAGAGAGGAAAAATAGGAGAGAAGAGAAGCCTTACTAATGGACCCTGTACCAAGATCCTGCAAAGGTGGCACGCGGCCCTCTTGGCTGATGGAGTCTCTGGCTTTGTTCTAACACTAAGAGACCTTGGGCTGAACACAGTTTCTCTAGGCCCCTCCTCAATATTCTAAGCTCCTATTACAGGCCCAAGTCAATTTCATAGGTCACTGCCCAGTCAAGGAGAAAAGCTGCCTCATGGAACAGGGAGGCCCAGCTAAGGATATAGAAAGTGAGAGAGTCCAGAATTTGGCTGGGTTGATAAACACAATGAGGAAAGCAATGTCAGAACCAGTCCTTTCAAGACAACAGAAACATAGAAGATACTACTCTTCTTGAACTATAGAAGTTACTTTTCCAAACAGGAATGGGAGAACTAATTACAAATCATACAGAAGGATCATGTCAGAAGGATGACAATCATGACAGAAGGATTGTGTCCCCTCAAAGTGGGCCACAGGAGGCCAGATCCCTGCAGTCAAGTAAGAGTACTCTTCTTCCTTCAATCTCTGGAGGCCCTTAGAAAGGATAGAATCGTAAGTGCAGTTGCCAGGCCGGCCCGTGGCTCACTCGGTAGAGTGCGGTGCTGATAACACCAAGGCCACGGGTTCGGATCCCATATAGGGATGGCCGGTTTGCTCACTGGCTGAGCGTGGTGCTGACAACACCAAGCCAAGGGTTGACATCCCCTTACCGGTCATCTTTTTAAAAAAAAAATAAAATAAATAAGTGCAGTTGCCAACAACTGCTGACAGAATAGCTCTGTTCAGAGTAAGTCCACCATTGCAGCACCTCAGAAAGCTGAGTAAATATTTACCATCTCTAGGAGCTCCTGAACTAATTTTTCTAGTGCTAGAACTACCTGACCATGGCTTCCATGACAGCAGGAGCAGATGGTGGGGAGAAAGGGGGACTTCCTGTTTCCCAGTATATACCCAAAGCTGGAGATTGAAGTTAGGGACTCAAGTTCCTCTAACCTCTCCATTTCCCCTCCCTCAGCCAGGTGAATATAGTCTGGTAAAAAGTGTCTAGTAAATACTGCTCCTTTATGGAAAGTCAGTGGCCTTGAAGGACTAAATTCCACTGTCTTCAGGAAAGGAACACACTTACAAAATCCCCAAAGACCCACCTCAGTAAGGAATTATTGAACAAGCTAGGTTCCAAATACTCAGCGACAAAAAGGCACTTGTATATGACATGATGATTTAAGGGAAAAAAAATTAGAAATGGCTCAAGGCTCATTTCTTGGAGATTCCTTACAGATACAATATGAATTCTTTCTTGGGGAAAACCTGGTAGGGACATACCTCTGACCAAATGCAACCGTGAAACCTACCCACAGCTTAAGAGGAAGTTCTGACTTCTTGGGCCACAACTCCTGCTTTTAGCCTTTTAGAATGACTGGTCCCTCCTTGGGAGAAGAATAACCAGGAGCTGCAAAGGCCTATCAGACTAGGAACTACATGTTCTAAACTCCTCCAATCTTTGGCACTATTTTTATCTCATCCCCTCTCCAAATTGGGATGGGATGAGTAAGAAGACTTCTGCCTTCAAAGGGAAGAACAGGGCCAAAGAAAAGAAAGGATACAATAAATGCTCCCTAGGGTAAAAGAGTCACAGTCCTTGCCTGGGATGCTCTTGACCAGTGCTTCATATCCTAGGCCTCAAAGGGTCTTTCCTAATGACACCCAGCTATAATGACCCCAGTCTTTTCATTACCCTAACTAGTTTTTTTTAACCCTTGGCTTGGTGTTGTCAGCACCACGCTCAGCCAGTGAGCTAACTGGCCATCCCTATATAGGATCCGAACCTGTGGCCGTGGTGTTATCAGCACTGCACTCTCCCGAGTAAGCCACGGGCCGGCCCCTCTAACTAGTGTTTTTTTTTTTTTTTTTTTTTTTTTTAAAAAGATGACCGGTAAGGGGATCTTAACCCTTGACTTGGTGTTGTCAGCACCACGCTCAGCCAGTGAGCTAACTGGCCATCCCTATATAGGATCCGAACCTGTGGCCGTGGTGTTATCAGCACTGCACTCTCCCGAGTAAGCCACGGGCCGGCCCCTCTAACTAGTGTTTTTTTTTTTTTTTTTTTTTTTTTTAAAAAGATGACCGGTAAGGGGATCTTAACCCTTGACTTGGTGTTGTCAGCACCACGCTCAGCCAGTGAGCGAACCGGCCATCCCTATATGGGATCCGAACCCGGGGCCTTGGTGTTATCAGCACCGCACTCTCCGAGTGAGCCACGGGCCAGCCCCTAACTAGTGTTTTTTAACCTTCCTTTTAGGTGTGTTAACTTGTCTGTAGATGATGAAGCTCTGGAAGGCAGACTTTGGGTCTTCCCAATCCTATTTTCCTACCAGACTCAGCACACAGTAAGCGTATATGGTCAGAAAGCTACCTCTGTGTTCCTGGGCAATAGGTAGACCTGTGATGAAAAATAACCAAGCCAGAACAAGCAGAGGTCGGTCAGTCGGTCAACACCAGGTTTTGATAACTTCTGTGTGCAGAGATCTGTGGGGAGACCCAGAGGAAGAAGCCAGTAAGTCTTGCCCTTAGAAACACTCTGGTCTAGTGGGGATAACGGAACCACACACACACGGGGAAAAAAATAGCATGGCAAGGCTTGCTGGAAAATTCAAACGCAAAGGGCAAAGGGCAAAGAAGGAAAGGGAGGAGCTTGAGACATACTGGAAACATTATACCATGAGGGAGATCAGAAAAAAGAGAGACCCTCCCTCCCCATTCTCCCTGGAAACAGTTGAAAGTTCACTCTCAGACAGTCTAAAAAAGCAAGAAAATAGATGCTTCCTCTCTTTTGTGGTTCCCTTCAAATTTACTAGCAATCATGTCACTGCTCAGAACAGGATGCCATTCTACTCTGTGGTACAAAATTAAAGCAGAAGCACACTGACCCCTCTAGGAATCAGGGTGGGGATTCCAACTCTTAGGGGTTTTCCCCTCCACCCAAACCTGGGGAGGGATCAAAGGCAAAGAAACTACTGACTCGCTACAATTCTAGAGCTCCAGTGCTAGAACACAGAGCCCAATAAATATTCTGACAATGACGATGGCCATTTCTAAAAAAGCAGATAATTCAATTGTTAGGCAATCCTAAAGCCATTTTTCTTTGTTTTGGGAATGCATTATTTTTAGAAGTACATTCCTAATTATATCTGCTCTAGTTGATAGAAACAGACAACAGAAAACAAACTGTGATTCATCTAAATACACACACAATTAGGAGGGAAAGCACTATGGGAAGCCAGACTTTGAGTAGAAATATGCTGGCGGATAATCCACAGAGTTGCTATCCAGCCACCTCTCAATTCACAAAGTTCACTTTTATATATGTTCCACCATCTTGTACCAAAACCCAGCCTTTTTAAAAAAAATTTTTTTTTATTTTTTAAAAAGATGACCGGTAAGGGCCGGCCCGGTGGCGCACTGGATAAGTGCGCCGCTTGGGAAGCGTGGCGGCGCTCCCGCCCGAGGGTTCGGATCCCACATGCAGACCGGTTCCCGCTCACTGGCTGAGCGAGGCGCGGGAGCAACACCGAGGGTTGCAATCCCGTTGCCGGTCCCCGGTCCGGTACGGGGGCAACACTGAGGGTTGCGATCCGTTGCCGGACACGGAAAAAGACAAAAGACAAAAAAAAAAAAAAAAACCACTTTCTTTTTCTACATTTCCTTTCCAAAGATGGATAAAAATAACAGTATTTGTAAGATGATACTTTCTCCTGCATAATTAATCTGCCTCTTTAAGATG